GTCCATGGTTGGGGCGGTCCATGGTTGGGGCGGTCCATGGTTGGGGCGGTCCATGGTTGGGGCAGTCCATGGTTGGGGCAGTCCAGAGTTGGGGCGGTCCAGAGTTGGGGCGGTCCAGGGTTGGTGCGGTCCATGATTGGGGCGGTCCATGGTTGGGGCGGTCCATGGTTGGGGCGGTCCATGGTTGGGGCGGTCCAGGGGCGCCCCTCACCAACGTTTCACGAAAAGACATCCAAGAAAACCAAAAGAAATCTTTTGTGGACCGAAAACTGTCTGTGGTTAATGCACGGCTTAAATTAAACACCATAAAAATAGCCCAGTGGTCAGCATTCTACTTGCATCTTAAAACACCTGACTCCCTAGTAGATGCACACAACACTGTGGTGTAATACTAGTGTACATGTACGATGTCAGCATTGTGGTGTAATACTAGTGTACATGTATGGTGTCAGCATTGTGGTGTAATACTAGTGTGGATGTATGGTGTCAGCATTGTGGTGTAATACTAGTGTACATGTATGGTGTCAGCATTGTGGTGTAATACTAGTGTACATGTACGGTGTCAGCATTGTTGTGTAATAATATAATAGTGTGCATATATGGTGTCAGCATTGTGGTGTAATGCTAGTGTACATGCATGGTCTCAGCATGCTAGGATCACCTAGTGGGATCACCCTCAGAAGGAGGATTATCTAGGATTAGGGCCACCAGGGGCGGACAATTTTTTTGCGTCCCACCGCCCCCCCCCCCCAAAAAAAAACAAACCCTGCAGTGGGCTGAAAATAACACCCTTCAATACATAGGGAAAATCAAAATGAGGCCCTGGGCGGAGCGCCGCGTCCAAATCTACTTAAGCCAGCGCCCTCATGTGTTAACTGAACTATTGCTGGAGAATTGATTTTATCGACATCATATCTGGTCTGTAACTCCTTGCCCCCCCCCCCCCCCAAAAAAAAAATCCCAAACATCCACAAGAGCTCTTTCCGATCTATGTTTTAACTGAACTATTGCTGGAGAATTGATTTTATCGACATCATATCTGGTCTGTAACTCCATGCTCCCCCCCCCCCCAAAAAAAAAAATCCCAAACATCCACAAGAAGAGGAATGTGTCCACTCTATTGATTGGAATTCTTCACCAAAGTCGATGGGGTCGGAATTGGTTTACGTCTGCTTGAAGATGTGGACATTTAGATATGGTCTGACGGTACCAGATGACTGAAGATGTGGACATTTAGATATGGTCTGACGGTACCAGATGACTGAAGATGTGGACATTTAGATGTGGTCTGACGGTACCAGATGACTGAAGATGTGGACATTTAGATGTGGTCTGACGGTACCAGATGCCCGAAGATGTGGGCATTTAGATGTGGTCTGACGGTACCAGATGACTGAAGATGTGGACATTTAGATGTGGTCTGACGGTACCAGATGCCCGAAGATGTGGACATTCAGATGTGGTCTGACGGTACCAGATGCCCGAAGATGTGGACATTCAGATGTGGTCTGACGGTACCAGATGCCCGAAGATGTGGACATTTAGATGTGGTCTGACGGTACCAGATGCCCGAAGATGTGGACATTCAGATGTGGTCTGACGGTACCAGATGCATAAAGATGTGAACATATGGATGTGGTCTGACGGTACCAGATGTCTGAAGATGTGGACATTTAGATGTGGTCTGACGGTGCTAGATCTGCAAAGTCAGAAAAAAAATCCCACTGCCTTGTCTTTAAAAAAAATGTCCCAGGTTGAGAGAGGGGAGGTGTGACATGGCATAAAGCAACAGTGAAATGTAATGGAAGACAGAGAACGCAAGGGATTTGGGGAAGTGACACTTATAAAAAAAAAAAAAAAAAAAAAAGAATTGTTTGAAAAAGGTCAAGATTACGTCATCAACTTTAAAGAAACATCTGGTTTTACATGTGCTTTTAAAATAAAATTCACATGCCATTAAAGAAATCAATGAACAACATTGGCGTGTAGTTGTGTGTCTTGTGCGTGTATGAGGGAGTAGGTGTGCGTGTATGAGGGTGTAGGTGTGCGTGTATGTGTACGTAATTGTGCTTCTAGTTATAGGGTTACAATTAATTGATGCAGACACTTATACACGAATACATCTAAAAATATGAACTGACATATTATGGTTTCCGAATTATGATTTTTTTTTTTACAGATTTTCAAACTAAACATAAATATAAACATAACTTGATACTTTCTTTAAAAATTAGCTATTGACCTAAGGCTTTGATGCACACAAAAGTATAAATCTGTCAATGATTTGGTCTATGTGATAAATCTGTCAATGATTTGGTCTATGTGATAAATCTGTCAATGATTTGGTCTATGTGATAAATCTGTCAATGATTTGGTCTATGTGATAAATCTGTCAATGATTTGGTCTATGTGATAAATATGTCAATGATTTGGTCTATGTGATAAATTTGTCAATGATTTGGTCTATGTGATAAATATGTCAATGATTTGGCCCATGCGATAAATATGTCAATGATGTGGTCTATG